CTCTTCATAGCCTATCTTGTGATTCTGCTCAATAGGAGTATTAGAGGGTTTACACCCGACCTTTCCTGCTTCTTTGAGAAGATTAAGAACATATTTCCTCTGGTTGATAAAAATTCCTTTGTTTGAATGAGCTACTTCTATCCCTAGGAAATATCTCAATTTTCCAAGGTCTTTAACTTCAAACTCAGATGCTAGTCGTGTTTGCAGAACATGTCTCTCCACAAAATCATCACATGTGATAATAATATCATCAACATATACAAGGAGCATAGTGAGCTTCCCATCTTGGGAGTGCTTAAAGAAAAGAGTGTGATCTCCTTGACTTTGTTTGTATCCTAAGGTCATCATAACCTTAGTAAATCTTCCAAACTAGGCACGAGGTGACTGCTTCAATCCATACAAGGCCTTTTTTAATCTACAAACTTTATTTTCTCCATTCACAGAATCAAAACCAGGAGGGATTTTCATGTAGACTTCTTCTTCTAACTCACCATTGAGGAAAGCATTCTTCACATCAAATTGATTTATATCCCAATTGTAATGAGCAGCAAGGGATAACAAGACTCTCACTGATGAGTCTCCAAATTATTATATATTAAAGGTTAATAAGAGCATGAAATTGATTTAAAAGTAATTAAAAGTTATGAGAATTATAATTAAATTGTTATTTTATTCTCAATAATATTCTCAAAGATTTCTGATATTTTGCAGTAATTTCAGCTCAATAAAGAGATAATTGGAGATATCAAGTAGAGTGCTTTGGATTTCTGAATCATTCAAGATCTTATCAAATCTTTGTTGAATATTTTTAAGGAAAATTTTCCATTAAATAAAAATGGGAAGATTTGAAGGATTGAATTAAAGATATAATTAGAGATTCTAGTGAAGATCCTATTCAAGATATGATCAAGGGCACAAATTCTATAAATAGAGACTCAGACCTCAGAGACAAATAATCTTTGGTTGGAGAGAATTGCGAGGACTAGAGAATTGAGAGAATTCTTAGAGACTCGCGCTGGAAATCAGGATTCCACCGTAGTTGAAGGCTGAAGACATTGAGTTTTTATTCTTCTTCTTCTTTTCTTCTTAGTTTATGAACAATTTTTATTCTTTTAATTTGTTTAAGTCAGACATGAATATGTCTGGCTAATTTCTTTTTGTAGTTGGGATCACGGACCCGATGTGAATCCTTTATATTTTCTATATTGTTTTTATAATTTAATTAGTTAGTTTGTTTTATTCTACCTGTGTTAATTTTTCCATATCCTGTTTAGAATTGACCACTCTAAATTATAGGGCTTTGAGGGTTAGAATTCATAATAGACATATTGGGGTTTTGATCTGGACAAGGGTAGAATAATAATTTGTGCATGACCTAGGAATAGGCTTACATAGATTGCAGACTCATAATTCATTTGCTTAATGCTTAATTCAAGAGGGATTACTAAGATATTAGAATTCTGATTGGGTTAAAGGGTTGAAATCACTAAGACATTAGGGTTCAACTATTTTATAAAGAAATAATGAATTGTCTGAGCAAACGAATTAATTAATTATAAAATACAATAGAGAAATATAAGGGAGGATCAGAGGTGAAGTGCATCATGGCTACAACCTTTTTACAAATTTTTCATCAATATTCTCTTAAGTTCTTAATCTTTTCTTGCATGTGTTCAAATTTAATTGTTATTAATTTCTGTTTTAAATTATTTTTAAATTCTGTTTTGAAATTCCAAAATCAATCACTTTTACAACTCAACCAAATTTGCTCTTCCAACTTAAGGGGAATAGTTAAATTAAATCCTCGAGGGAACGATACTTTACTTATCACTTTATTACTTGAAACAAACGGTATACTTGCCAATTTTCGCAACACTCACCGTATTCATCTTTGCAACTGGAGCAAAGGTTTCTTCATAATCAATGCCATAGGTCTGAGTGTAACCTTTGGCGACTAATCGAGCCTTATATCTCTCAAGAGTGCCATCAGAATTATACTTCAAGGCATAAAATCATCTGCACCCTACTGATTTCTTTCCATTGGGTCTATCAATAACCTCCCATGTTTTATTTTTCTCCAACGCATTCATCTCATCTTGCATGGCTTGAGCCCAATTCCCATCTTTCAATGCTTCATGTACTGATTTTGGGATTGAAATAGAATCTAGTGCTGAAACAAAGCTTTTGTGCTAGACATAAAGATTAGTAGAAGAAACAAAATGGAAGATATGATATTGAGTACAAGAGGGACATGAGGAACAAGATTTCTTGGGACAAGATCTTTTCCTTTTTCTTAGGGCAATAGGTAAGTCATCAGAGATATCAGAAGAAATAGACAAATCATGAGAGACAATAATATTAGAATCAGAAACAAGAGAAACAAAAGATTCAGGACTTACCGGTGGTTCAGACGATTGAGGTTGCTGGTGAGACAGTATGGGTTGTTTCCTCCTCTGATATACCAATTCAGGTGTCAAAATCTTTCGTATCTCAGGTGTATTTGAAGGTTCTGACACACCAGGAGCAGACACACTAGGAAGAGGTGTAGGAGTAGACAAGATTGATCCAGACTCAAAGAAGGAAGAGGATGAGTCTTCTGAAGAACTATCCTCCCCCTGAAGATGAAGACCCAGGAAATAAGACGACTCAGATTCTTGAAAGGTAACATCTATAGAAACAAAAAATTTCCGACTTGGTGGATGATAACACTTGTACCCTTTTTTATCAGAGGCATAACCAAGGAAGACACACTTAAGAGCCCTAGGATCCAACTTACTGCGATGTTGTTTATGAACATGGACAAAGGCAACACATTCAAACACTCTTGGTGGAAGGTTCTGCAAAATGAGAACAGAAGGAAAGAAGGAAGTCATGGAATGAATAGGGCAGGTATTGTTAAGGACCCGTGAAGGTAAACGGTTGATCAAAAAGGCTGCAGCTAACACGGCTTCTCCCCAATAAAAACTAGGAACAGATGTCTCGAAAATTAGTGCTCTAGCAACTTCAAGGAAGTGACGATTTTTTCTTTCAGCAACCCCATTTTGTTAAGGGGTATCAACACATGTGAGCTCATGAATCATACCTCTGTCTGAAATGAATTGTGATAGGCGTTGGTTGACGTACTCAGTACCATTATCAGATCTTAGTCTTTTAATACACTTACCAAACTGAGTCTCAACCATATGATGAAATCGAATAAATATCTCTGGTACTTCAGACTTGTCTTTTATCAAGAATGGCGGTGGTCCGGTCCAGAAGCAAGGCCGCACGCGTCGGAGAAAGGGGCTGCACGTGGGCTTCACGCCCGAAGAGAGAAGTGGTGCGTGAGAGCGCGTGTGGAGGCTTCTCGGGCTGAAATTTTTTTGGCGTGGTCGCCCGGTGAGTGCGCACCTGTCTGTGGGTGGTCGCGGTTGAAAAGTCTCCGGAAAGTGGTCCAAACGGTGAAGACAGATCTGATTGGAGGCGGTCGGAGGTGTTTGGATCGTTTGTGGCTGAGAGATGGTGTGTGGGATGATAGATCGAAGAAAATAAAGGTCAATAGTGGTCCTCTTGGTCCAAAAGATCCCCAAAATTTTTTTTCCAGTGACGGCTGATGGCAGCAAGAGGCAAAGGAACTAGAGTTTTACCCAAAAAAATGGCAATAGGCGCGGAAGCAGAGCCCTTAGGATCGAGAGCTCTGATACCAACTTGAAAAAGGGTATTCTGATATATTATTGAATTATAAATAATCTGTACAAATGATTATCTATTTATAGAGAATACATGACCTAGAATACATGACCTAATGAGCTAAGCCCAATACAACAAATAAATAAATAACTAAATATTATTTACAACAGTATATTCCATGAATATAAAATGATCATGCCCTTTTTATTAAAAAAGTATATGTTATTATCAAATACGTATCAAGAGTTATTTTAATTTAACCAATGGTTTTGAGTTTGAGCTCTACGTAAGCAGTTATGTTAAAACAAGAGAGTTTTGATTTACTTGTAGATCTACCCAGCTCGAATTTGAATTAGTAACGTCCATCGGTGATCAGATATAGAATAGTTTATAAAAAAAAATGTACATGTTCATCTGATAACAATTTGAGGTGGCACAAGCAACATCAAGCGTGATTCAAAGGTCCAAGACATGAAATTTTTTTGTATACGTAAGATATTTTTACTCCCAAATAACAGGCCCAGGACCCATTGATACTCATATTTATTATATTTTAAGCCTTTGATTAATATTTCTTCAAGCGCACGAGCAGGCGCAACTAGGAGCGTCTTGATAAGCTGATCTTTCAATTACAAAAAGTAGAGGACAAAGAAACAATGATATAATATATGAATTTTATAAGAGTTATGTTGTAAAAAAAATGATTGTGTAATGTTATAGAGATTCGTTTTACGTGCCGTAATTTTCTTTTTCTTTTTTTCTTCAAAAAGTGTGGACTCCACAAAATATTGTGCGTAGAAAAATTTGTTGTGTCATGTTAAATGACAAATACAAACCCCTTAATATATTTCACACATGCTTGCTGATTGATCAGTATCATGCACTGTAATGAGAATCAAACGTTTTTTCTTTCTTTTTTAAGACAATCCTACTCTACACAACCCTAAGCATCAATCAAAGAAAGATTCTACAATTTATTTGGGCGTTGAAATTATATCTACTTTTGACCACTAAAGTGAAAAAGGGAAAAGAAAAAGTAGGGAAAATCTAAAATGGCCCCACTTGAGATAAAAACATGCATGCTGAATTGGTGAGAAGGGACCACATTTGTCAACCCATTAACAGCTTATATTCAACTGGCTTTTGAGTAACCATTAATCAGCCAATGGCGTGTTCTGAGTGCTGACAGACAGCTACAGTTCAAATGTCTTCAGTCAACAACCAGGATGACCAAATTGGAAGGAAGCATGCATGATGTTGTGAATCTAAATGCTTGCATTGTATGTATCAAAGCAGAATATGGACATGTTAATTTTGTATCCTCCAAAGAATCATAACCTACCTAGAGGGGACTCAAATGCATAATCATCCGCCAACCAGAGTCCATAGTCACGAAATCGCTTTATTTTCTTCTCAAAACCTATGATATAGTTATTGTGAATTATAACATGCATTCCTTTAGTTTCCTTAACCCATGTTTTGTTCTTGAAATATAGTCCTCCTGTAGGGAATGCTGCTTGGGGCAACAGGTAAAGATCCACCTGCAGAGAGCCATGAAACAAACAATCATGAAAAATAGAATAATGCATTTTATATGTTATGTAAAGAATCAATTCAACCTAAAAGCTTAAGTTTTTGGGTAAGGCGGCATTAGTGGTTTATATATATCTAATACGCCCCCTCACAAGAGAGCCAACTGAGCTTGAAGGGTGGACAATGCACAGACCTACTTACTTGTGCTAAGAAATTCCACAAGAGAAAGTGCGGGACAGTGAGAATTGAACTCGTTACCACTTGGTCACTGAGGCTTTGATACCATATAAAGAACTAATTCAACCCAAAAACTTAAAACCATGTTATAAAGATAAACACACTCTCTTGTTATCAAGATTTTAATACAAATCTTAAAACCATTAAAGCAGAATATTTGGGGTGCCAAAATGAACACTCCTTTCATTGAACATATGAACATAATTTTCACTTTCAGAAACAGAAGATTCATTTTGTTGAGAGTTGAAACTGGGTATGAAAGACAAATTCCTGGTTTTAGAAGGGGTTGAGTAAAGAAATTGCATGTATTTTCTTTCTAATTGAACAGAAATCATCCATGATACATTACATAGTACAACAGAAATTCATCTGCAAGATATAGTGTTCAATGGAATAAGACATAGATATTCAAATTGCAGGAAAAGGACAGAATAAGGGTCTCGTAGTGAAAATTTTCCTTTAAACTTTAAATTATTGGCCAACTAAGAATAAAAGAGAGTAACCCACTAAAGTCTAAAGATAAGACGCAATACAATCTCCACTTTTTCTTGATGCGACAACTAATGGAAAGATACCGAGAAAAGAAAAAGGACTTGCATATGGTGTTCATAGACCTTGAGAAAGCATACGATAGGGTTCCAAGGAAAGTTTTATGGTGGGTCCTGGAGAAGAAAAAGGTTCCATTAAAGTATGTAAAGGCAATCAAGGATATGTATGATGGGGCTACTACATGTGTAAAAGCTTGTAACGGATCATCAAGTTATTTTCCTATCACGGTAGGTGTACACCAAGGGTTGGCTCTAAGTCCTTACCTCTTTTGCCTTAGTTATGGATGAACTAACAAAAGATATTCAAGAGGAAGTGCCATGGTGTATGCTTTTTGCAGACGATATTGTGCTTATTGATGAGAGCAAGGAGGGTGTTAATAAAAAACTTGAATTGTGGAGAAGCACATTGGAATCCAGAGGATTCACATTAAGTCGAAGCAAGACTGAGTATCTGAAGTGTGAGTTTTCTCTGGTACGAGATGAGGACCAAGAACCTGTGCATCTAAATGGTCAAGAGGTACCCAAAAAAGATGCTTTTAAATACTTGGGCTCCATTTTACAAAACGGAGGAGAGATTGATGAGGATGTAAATCACAGAATCAGAGCAGGGTGGATGAAATGGCGCAGTGCATCTGCATTTTTGTGTGACCGCAAAATCCCCCTGAAGTTAAAAGGAAAATTCTATAAAACGGCAGTAAGACCGGCAATGCTATATGGAGCAGAATGCTGGCCAGCACATAGGCAACATGAGCATAAGATGGGAGTAGCAGAGATGAGGATGTTAAGGTGGATGTGTGGTTACACAAGGATGGATAAGATAAGAAATGAAGATATTCGACGAAAGGTCGGAGTAGTACCGGTAGCCGAGAAGATGAGAGAACATAGATTGAGGTGGTTTGGGCACGTGATGAGAAGACCCATGGATGCTCCTGTAAGAACAGAAGTTTGTTACCAAGAGCTCAACACAAAAAGAGGCAGAGGTAGGCCAAAGCTTACTTGGGGGAAAGTAGTAAAACAAGATTTAATGGAGTGGGATATAGATTGGCGGACAGTATGTCTTAGAACGGAATGGAGAAAAGCTATAAGTATGGTGGAGGGTTAGACCCGCTGTTATTCCTATGTTCCAGATGGTCCCTTTTTAGTCCTTTTCCCCTTCATTTCCCCCACTTCTTCTTGTCCCTTTCTTTTTTACTTTTATTTATTTATATATACATATATTGTTATTTTATTTTATCTTATTTTATATTTTTATTTTATTTGTTTATTTTTATTTATTTATTTTTGGCTTTTTTTTTTTTTTTTTTTTTAAAACTTTTTTTCAACCATTTTGTATTTTTCATGTGGGTTCATCTACCACCGACCCCAATTAATTTGGGATAAATGTGTTGTTGATGTTGATGTTGATGTTGAGTGAAATCATTGATCATAAAGGTAGGAAAGAATATTCATTCAGAAGTTAGAACTAACAACGATCTAAACGCTAGGTGATCATCCAGCACTAAAACTGGATTCAATGAAGAAACATTCAAATATTGGCATTTGTCACATACTTGACGAAAATCAACCAGAAAGAATCATAAAAAAAAAATTGTTTTTCCTCTGTGTATTTTCCTTTAAATTCTAGGGAATAGGGGGGAATCTTTAGGGTGTTTTACACCAGTTAGACTGTAAATTCGTAAAACTAAAAGGGGGCATAAACCTTAAAAAGCAATATCAATTTGAACATAAGATTTGTACTGAAGCCTGTAATGCCTGATCAGCCACAAAGAATTGTCAAATATAAATTTATTTTTTGCTGTACTTTTGTTTTAGATCTGGGTAGAATGCTTAGAGTATTTTCAACTATAGTCATGTCTAGAAGTCAAACTTGGATAAGCAATAAATTATATAATTCATACCAGTGAAACTGTCAAGTTGAGATTCATATTGAAGCATACAATAGCATGAGTGGTGCTACTTCATCAGAAACAAACATCCTAATTTACTATCAAAGTGTTCTAAAAGAAAAATCTTAAGGAAATAAGCTGTCATCATATATTTGTATGAAGTTTATAATAACTATACAAACTGGAAGGAAAATAAAAAACAAATTCAACCAACCTCTTTTTCAGTCTTCATCAAAGCCCAGTTAAAAGCAGGTTGATCATTAGATTTCTTGGTTTTAGACCATGGCTGAATTTGAAGTTCCTCAATCCACTTTTTCATCACTAACTTTGCCCCATCAGTAGGCCGAAGGAAAATCATGCAACTACATATGTAAGGGCGACCCTTTTTTCCTGGTGGTGGCAAATCATGAGAGTGGTTCAATGGTTTGATCTGGTATCACAAAGAAATAAAAAATGACAAAAATCAATAATACAAGAGCAAAACAGAATCACTCTAGAAAAGCAACATAAATTCAGAAGGAAATAATAAAATAGGATTAGAGCCTGATTAATGCACCTTAGGGTACATCAGCAAGCCCTCCAGCAGGCCTTCACAATGGCATCTATTTTGACATTACTTGAATGCATTCATAATTATCTTTTTTTATCTCTAATAGGTAAGATAATCCTAAGAGAACCAAACAAGTAGGATATCTATGTGTTGAACTTTTACCGGTATACTTTAAGTAATGTCCTGGATCTTAGGATGTTTCATCAGCATATATTAGATTTGTAGATTAGCAAAATCAGTATACAGGCTACTGATCAACAATATTTGGATTCTAATTACTACAAACATTATCACTCAATCCCATCCATGTGCTAGTCATAAGTCAATGTAGATGAAACAAGATCGATCCCTTGTTGTATGTTCAAAATTTATCAAAAATGATAATGGTTTTACGACTATCTTGTTTTGCCCCCAACAACATGGAATTATTCAGCTTGCATAAAGTATATGCAAATTAGTTTGGTAGTTGAAGTGTATCTAGATGAAAGATCTAGTGAAAATAATGATCATTTTAAATCCCATTCCAATAAGATTGCACTTACCCTTTGTCTGACAATATTGTAGGATAATAAAACAAATGAGCTGCATAATATACCATTCAATTACAAATGCTAAAATTATAAAAAACCAGAATTAAATTTGTAAGAAAGATCTCCAATCATTAGAGGCACTATGAATCATGCCTTATATATTAAGTACATAGGAAAAGTATTATCCTGGACAACAAGTATCCAGCATTGATTTAGCATGTAGTTTATTACACACATATTAAAAATTGAAATGCTTAAGAAGAAATGCAGAAGAAACATAAATAATATATATAGATTAGCATACTTACTGCAGTCATATCATCTGTAAAGTACACATCATGATTCCCTTGCAGATAAGGAAATGGATCAGCCAACCAAACCATATCAACATCGTTGTACATTACATTATATCCAAGCTCCAAAATATTCAGCAGATGGCGTGGCCTCCTGGCTGTAAAGTTGAAGAAACCCTAAACAATGAAGTAAACAAGCATTGATTCTAAAATTCAGCACCAAACACGGAGAAGAAATGGACCCAATGATTAAGTTCATTAAAGATATGAGCATGGAAAGCACTACATGAGATGGCAAATATGTGTCAATATTTCTCTCAGATCCTAGGAATATAGCCTTCATTACAATTGGAAACATTGTGAAAAAAGTGAAGGTGTTCACTAAAACATCATCAAATCAGTTCATAAGGTCTACATTAGTGTATCAAAGGCAACTAAACAAAAGCAATGGTAATATGACGGCATGTATGATTTAAAGGTGAACACCCAGCAATTCTGGCATAGCATTAATTAGCATATTAGAAATTCCTTGTCTAAAGGTTTACAAAAACAGAATGGCATTTTCTAGCACAAAAATCAGCTGGGTTTCTATTTCTAACATGAGGAATTGAGGATAGTAACACTAATTCAAGTCACCAGATCATGAAAACAAATTTTGAGCCAGAACAAATAATTAAAAAACCAATTTCTTCCAATTGGATAAGCAGAACAAGCAGGAAGCAACAAATGTTACACGCTGTATTTAGCTACAAGTCCTTATTACTGGATAAAAGTAAATGCCCATTAATCAAAACACTAAGTAATATCATTAAGTCCTTGTGACTGGAAAGGTAGAAGAAGCTAGATGCTAGGAATTACACACCTGAGAACCAAACTTATGGGCAGCATCAGCGTCAAGCACAGGTGGAATGAGTACAGCATGGCCAGGCCAACGCTCGTTGACCTTATAGAGTGAAGGGTAGTCCTCAGCGATGACAAGGACCTTGTCTTGATGCTTTTGCCTGGTGAGGCTTATCAACCAATTGTTGAGGAATGGCAAGTAGGGTTGGCTCACAATGCAGACAATGACAGTGCCATTCTTGGCCACAAAGGAGAGTGCTTGTGGCAATGTGTAGAGACCCCATTTGGAGATAGCAGGTTTGGAAGTTGAAAAGATGATACCTTGGGGCATGGCCACCCAAGGGGAGAAGAAACCCATGACAAGAACGAGAGAGAAGAGGACTAGGAGTGTGGTGGGGCTGAAAATGGACATGGGTCTTTGAGAATTGGTTGAAGAATGAGGTGAAATGGAAAATGGAGAGTGAGAGGTTCTTCTGTGCATAAAGGATGACATTGGTGGTTGGAGAATAGAGCGTTGCTGTGATTGGCAATGGCACCATTAGATTTAAGATCTGAGAATCGAAGTGAAGGGGCAAAGTCATGAACACATTCCTCGTACTCGATCAAAGTGATGTTGGAACATTGCATTTGCAGGTCCAGTTTGAGACTATCCACGTTGTTAATAAGTTTATGCTTCTAGATTTTTGTTTATGGACTAGGTTTTTGTTTTATTATTATTAAATTCTTTGTCTTTCTCTTAATAGTGGGCCTAGGTGAGTTTCTTTTATCCATGGGCCAAAAGCTTGTTCTGCTTGCCAATAGATTTAGGTGTTGGTTGGTTCATTTATTGGATTAATCTAAGAAAAATTAAATTAAAAAAAAAATTGAATAAATAATAAACAAATAGAATTGATAGCAATAATAACATTTAAGGTCATAAAAAAGTATATAAAATAAAATAAAATAAGAATTAAATTTTTTTTTTTATTCTTTCTTGATTGTCATGATTTATGCTTTGTTTGTTTAAATTAAAATAATGACTTATCCTTTTTGAATTCTCTTGTTTTTTTTTTTTTTTTTTTAACTCTCTGCTTGAAAATTAATGTTTTTTGATATTCCTTTGACAACATATTAACTTGTGTCTCGTTCAGTGGTTTTTATGAGTAATAGATTCAATGGTTATTTTTTGGGATTATCAGGTAGACTTATGTCTCTTGTTTAAATGAGATTCCATTTATAAATTTCTTTTTACCATTTCATTACAGTTATGAGTTTGACAATTGAGAATATTTGTGAATTTTTTTTAAACAATTAACAACCTTTTTGGGTGCTATATCAGGTTATAGTGTTACACATTATTGAATAATTAACATGGTTGCATTTAAGGTTATGACAAGAACAAGAATGACTATAAATGTGAAGTGTGTGAGAAGAACTATTTAGATGCTCTCATCTTAATATATAATGTAATTATTTATGGTATGTTAATTGCACGTTACCTACAAGTCAATATAATACCCAATCACCCAGTGTTATTTTATTTTTGCTGAATTGGTATATTGTTAATCTTATTGGCCATTTTTTTTTTATATTTTGTTTAAATGATGTGGGAATATGCATCATTGTCTGCTAGTGGTAATTTTTAAATTGCGTTAGCAGCTCTGTTTAAGTTGTCTATAAGTTTTTTATTAGTTCAGACAGAAACTGGATAAGAGAAAGAACTTTGGTTTATCGAACATTTTTTCCATTAATGTAAAATAAATAAATTCAACTGTCATTGCCTAATGTTTTTTGTTTTTGTTTTGTTTTTCTTTTTATTGCCTAGATATGCCATTATATTCAGTGCATGGAAATCTTGATCGGGTCGATGATTAAATTGGTGAGGATCCATATTTTGACCTTTTTTGGATGCAGTATCTGTTGAGAGTAACTCAACAAATTGTGAAAATATTGTTGTGGTAGTTATACTTAATGCATCTGATGATTGTGGTTAGGTTAGGATTAGGATAACGTTGCTTAACGGGACTCCAACCTCATCCTTTCATTTATTTATTTTTTATTAAATTAAAGTATAATTATGCATATTAATTTTTTTTTTGAAACAATAACATTTGTTATTTTATTTTTTTAAATTTCAAAATTATTTTTATAAATAACTAATTTAACTCAAAAGTTTAAGAAATTCCTCAAGAAAAAAAAAAGGGGCAGTGAGAATCGAACCCGTAATACCGAAGCTCTCTGATACCTTATAAAGAACCAATTCAACTCAAGAGCTTAAACTAGTAGGTAATGCTACATTAATGATTTTATATATCTCTAACAATTTTTTTTAATCTAATTATGTATGTTATCGTTTAATTATATTTTTTTAAAAATTTTATTTGAATTTAAAAAACTGGTACATTTCCCAAGATATTCATTAGGTCTTTTTAATATATTATAGTATAGTAGTTTGGTAAAAATATAGAGTTTTATTTATGGATGGTAGTAAGGTTGAGTTTTGGCGTGATATGTGGGGACCATTTGACTGCAAGCTTAGTGAACTAACCTTTAACAATGTCCCTTAACAAAAGATCAACAAGAAAGCTATGGAGTATGTCAAAGAAAATGGGGATTGGGACACTGATTTCCTATCCAGGTGGCTGCCAGAAAATGTGATCCATATTGTTCTCAGCTGTCTTCCTCCATATCCATAGGATGGAGCTGACAAAAGAAAGGGGAAGCTGATTGGTTCATTATATATAACAGTAAAAGCTTTATATGAGATGCTGAAATCAGATTCTTCTACAAGTGAGTTTGAGTCCTCAATTTGGTCTTGTGTTTGGGGTTGGAAAGGACAATAACACATGAAATTGCATCGCTAGAAGCTTATGCATCACCGTCTGCCCACTAGAGTGTGGAATGCTCATTGGAGCCAATGACACATGCACTGCCCATCTTGTCTAGATGATAATGAATCCATAATTCATGCAGCAAAGACTGCCTATAATCCATAAGGCCATTATTTAAAAGCAAAAATAGCTGCCTTCCCCCTCGTATATAGAGGCATATATTAAATGGCACCCTCATAAGCATGGATCAGTTAAAATTAACACGATGGAGCATCAAGAGGTAATCCAGGTCCTACAGCTTGTGGAGGGGTGATCAGGGACAATGATGGTAAATGGCTGGTCTGATTTGAAAACAAAGTGGATGTTTGTTCGACACTAACAGCTGAGTTATGGGGCATCTTGAGTGGATTTGAATTGGCTTGGCATAGAGGTTGGAGAAATGTGATTTTAGAAAGTGACTCTACTAATGGTGTCATTATGCTCACCAGGAAGGGTGACGCTGCTCGTGAGTCTCATCTAGTGACTCAAATACGAGCATGGTTAACTAGAAGCTTAGAAGCTGTGAATGTCTTTGGTTCACATCTATAGGGAGGTGAACTATTATACAGATTGACTATTAAACCTTCCTCTTGATCACCCAAACATGGCTGATAGGTGTTGTTTCTCCTCTCCCCCTTCGGGGATTAGTATTTTGTTTCAGGCTAATTTAGCTCAGGTGTTTAGAACCCATTGTATTATTGTTTGTTAGTTTTTTTTTGGGGTGTCCACCCTTCTAATTACCAAAAAATAATAATAATAAATCAAAAGATGTTTAAGCATTACAATTTAAAATGGTATAGACTTGTGCCGTTACTAATTTTGAAAGCGAAAAAAATGATACGATATTGTTTATCTTTTTAATAAGAAAAAGTATGTGTAATTTTAATATAAAAATTAGAATTGTATAATTTTTTGCCCCAACCTATTGATAAATTCTTTTAATTATTCATTTCACATAGAAAAAGTATTGATTAGAAATTTAGAGCTATTGCCTAACACCTACAATGTTTTTAATATAATACAAATTTTTTTATTAGTTCAAATTTTTTTAGTAAAGCTAAGTCTTATATAAGATAATTTTAATCAAGAATGCACCCTCATCAACTTATAGTACATTCAAAAAAAAAATCTCAAGAGAATGAACACTCGTAAATTTTACATTTTGCCATCCTAATTTATTGATTAAATATTTATATCTTTTTTCTTCTCTAAGACAATTGATCAGTCCAAGAGATATTGGGCTTGACTACATATGGTTGAATATGGTTCAGTTGAAGTCTGAAGCATACTCATTGCTGGTGTCTAAGGTGATCTGTCGCGGGATGCTTTCGCAAGATAGTTATACTGATGCTTGAGATCTTTGCTTGGATGAGACAGATGCAGAGAGGTATCCACAAGGCACTCCTGCGTTCAAATCGATATATGATCAATAAGCTTAAGTTATAGTGGAGAATATGATCATATTTGGGCTTTGAGCCTTCTATATAATGATGATATAACCTGTTTATGTTACCTTAGAAGTTAGAATGGCAACATTCAATCCCATCGATGGATTCATATGGCCTCTACAACCTATTCTGTATTTATAAGTGTCAGAGAGATATAACATAAAACCATTAAAAGCCCATCATTTACAAATTTAAGCTTTTAGGTTGAAATGGTTCTTTACATGTTAAAGATATATAATATAAAATCATTGATTGAATTTTCACTTACAAGCTTAAGTTGTTGAGTTAAATTTGTTGCTTATAATGGTATAAGAATCAAGGTAACCACAATATCACAAGTTCAATCCTTACCGCCCCCACTTTTTAGTGGAATTAAGTCAGCACAAGGTATAACCAAAAAATGGGTCTATGCAATATCCACGCTTCAAGCCCAAAAGATTTTTACGTGAGGGAGTGTGTTAGAGAGATAAAATATAAAATCATTAAAGGCCCATCACTTACAAGCTTAAGCTTTTGGGTTGAAATGATTCTTTATAATAGGCTACGCTAAATAGATCTAGTTGGAACCGTGTGTTTGTCCTTCGGTCATTGGCTACTGAGGAGGCCTAGGAGCTCTGAACTATTTTCACTCCAGTTGTATATTTGCGAGATGACTCGTACGCTGAATGAACATGTTTCCTTATTTCTTAAGCTTTTTTATTGGGCCTCTTGATGGGTTCAACCCTTAATCCTATTTAGTATGAGTCCATATCAATAACTTAATTTAGCTGCATTCACGGGAAGAATTTCACGAGTACCTTGAACTTGTATATGAAGAATTGAAGACATGAGGTGCAAGCTTGACCAATTGAATGTGGCTTGAACTAACACAGTTGTTAAAGTTGGGTTTGAGTTACTATACCCTTTATTTTTTGTTGCTATTAGAGCATAGTCTATTAAGTTCCTTAATTTCTTAGATGAACTCGAGCAATAAAATTGTTTAATATATAGAGTTATGTTTGGAGTTGAAACTGAATTTCTCTCTGTACCATTGTTAGTGCTATAAGAGGAATGCAAAGATTCTATTAGTGTATGTTAGAAAGAATATCTTTTGTATATTTGTAAATATCTATTTTCTTATTTCATTAGGATTTGAGTTAAGTCTGGGCTAAGCCAATTAGTGTATCTATATATTGTACCTCTTGTATCTATTCAAT